CTATAAAAGCTGTGATAAACCGACAAATTCTAGTCGATCGCCATGTCTTGCATGACTTTTGTCCTTTTCCTGACCTTTGCCCAAATCTGGGCCTCCTCTATGCACCCTCGTCTCCCCCCTTCCTCCAAACTCTCCACAAACCCCAAGGAACAAACATCTTATTACTGGATTCACAACGCCCGAAGTACCATCACTGAGAAAATCCAGCGTTCACTGAACCAAAGTGAGTTCACCTCTCACGCCCACTCCTTGACTAATTTTCCAATTTAGACGTTGCCAAAAACGTGATTCTTTTCCTGGGGGATGGAATGTCAATACCTACGGTGGCGGCAGCCAGGGTGTACCAATCCGGGGAAGAATCGGAATTGGCTTTCGATAAATTTCCATACATTGGATTAGCTAAGGTGAGCTCACTTGAAACTCTCCCACCACTATGACGTTTTTTCCAGACGTATGCGGTTGATAGACAAGTCGCTGATTCGGCCAACACAGCCACGGCCTACTTGGCGGGAGTTAAAGCAAACTATGGAACTATCGGAGTTGGACCGGAAGTGAATTTTGGTGACTGTCAAGGAATGACAAATGAAACAAACCACGCCTTCTCCATAGCCTACTACTCACAATTGAAGAATAAAAGGACGGGTCTAGTGACCACGGCTAGGGTCACACATGCCTCACCTGCTGGTGTTTATGCTCACACTAGTGACAGGAATTGGGAAAGTGACAGTGACATCATAAACGATGGCCAAAAACCGGAAATATGTTCCGACATTGCCTCCCAATTGTTATTCGGAGAAACCGGAAAGAAACTAAATGTTGTCATGGGCGGAGGCAGAATGAAACTCCTCCCCAATAACATGACAGATGAGGAAGGCCAGAAAGGGGAAAGATCAGACGGCGCTAACTTGATCCAAACATGGCAAGAGCAACGCATTAATGTCAAATACGCATGGAATCGAAGCCAACTCATCGGCGATGTTACTTTTGATAACCTTTTGGGTCTTTTTGCCCATGACCACATGAGCTTTAACCTCGAACGTGACACTACCAATGAACCATCACTGGCTGAAATGACCACAGTTGCCATTAAAACCCTCAGTCGTGGCTCCGATGGCTACTTTTTATTCYTAGAGGGCGCCAGAATCGACATGGCGCATCACAGCGGCGCATCTCGGTTAGCCTTGAACGAAACAATCGAATTTTCTAAGGCTATCCAAGCCGCCGTTGACTTAACCGACGAATCAGACACTTTGATTGTCGTGACGTCAGACCACGCCCACAC